AAAGCTCAATGCATGCCTAAGAGTGCTTAGAAATGAAAGAGAACGAAAAATGAAACACAAAACATCTTTTCAAAATTTAAAAAACAAGGATTCCCGCTCGAGCACAGCTTTCGCCGCTCGAGCGGACCCATTTGGTCTGCAAAAGTACTGGTCACTTCATTTTTACGCTCGAGCGTGACTTCAGATGCTCGAGCTGAGAGCCAAAGTGTGTGTCTGGGAGCTCGAGCGTAACTCTTCCCCGCTCGAGCGGACATCATGTCTACAAAACTTCTGGGAACTAATATTTCACGCTCGAGAAGTGTTTTCCCCGCTCGAGCGGACATGCCAAATTCTGGAATTTCCAGAATTGTTCTTGAAGCTCAAACTTAGCATTCCAAGGTTCAAAGTTCGTGTTTTTGGTACAAAATCATGGAAAAACATTATATAGCATGAGAATATAGGTTATTTAAAACCAATTGTCCAGAATCATGATCTAATTCTCATATTAATCAACATTTCTCTTGGTATGGTCAAAGCTCATGCATTCAAACTTTATACAAGCTTCATATTTTCACAAACCTTTCATGCATGTCAATTATTGACTCCAATCCTAGCACAAATGATGTTCAAAATCATGGAATCTGTTAGAATTATGCATGCATGTATGATTTGGTGTAATATTCTTCATGTTCTCATAATCAACTTCTAATTGTAACATGAATCTTTTGAATTGAGTTCCATATCATGGAAATTCTTACAACTCGACAATTAAATAGTTGGCCCAATATCTACTTGGCAATTCCATACAAGCGGAGACCACCCTTCATCACTGTCTTCTGCCGCCACCACCCACCACCTGCCGCTATTACCTATTACCCGCCACCCGCCACCATCATCTTCCGTCACCACCACCTACCCACCTGCCACTTGCCACTATTTTCCACCACCGTCTTCTGCCACCATCACCCATCACCTGCCACCATTTTCCACCACCGTCTTCCGCCACCACCACCCGCCATCATTTTCCACCATCGTCTTTCGCCGCCACCACTCGCCACCACTTGCTATTTCTCACTATTTTTTATATTTTTAATTTTTTTAAACATTTTTGTCTAAGCCAAACGCATTTGTAGTTTATGTTTTTTTAAAAACAAATAAAAACCATTTTATAAAATTTTTATAAATATAAACTTAAAATGTAAACGTTACCAAACTGGCCCTAAGTGTGTCTTTAAGAAGTTTTTTTTTTTGGGGGGCAATTTTTGTATTACAAAAAAATGTTTCTTTCTTCTATTTTTTTCTCTGTATTTGATTGAGAAATTTGAAAAATAATTTAGAAAGGGAAAGAAAAAAATATTTGTAAAATTAAGTGAAATGTAAGTATATTTTATTTATATTTCACGTACTTTATGTTTTTTTCCTTTCTAAATCCCCTAACTAGCTTCAATCTCTTAACTTTTTGAGAAATTTAAAATGAGAATTATAAAATAAATAATTTTTTTTTTTATTTTGCTCCATTTGTTTCCTCTTGCAAATTCTTTTCCATCCAAATCATTCAATCTAGACAGAATGTTAAGCCTTGTTTGAGTTAAACTATATAAGTGTATTTTTTTTTTTTTTTTTTTGCATAAATACATTTATTTGAATCACATCAATTAATATTTCCTCTCTTTCTTTTACACAATTTTTTTTATAAAAAATTAAAAAATACACATACTTAAAACATTCCTCGACCCTTAACCTCTAACTAATTAAGTACTAATGGGAGCTTAAGCCATTGGTAAATCCGCACTGAGATTGGACGGTCGATATTGCACCCCACGCCACCCCCAACTCCAACCACAGACTTCTCCTCAAAAAAAAAAAAACCTCGTTTGGGAAGATATTTTTTTTAGTAATTTTTGAATTTTTTAGTTAAAATGTGATTTAAAAAAAATTAGTATATTTAGAATAATTTTTTGATTTTTTATAAAAAGATATAAAAAAAGTATAGAGAAAAGGAAGGTTGCGTTTGGTTGTGTTTTGTAATTATGATTTGAGAATATGAGTTGTATTTTGAATTTGTGGGGTTTGAAATTATGATTTAAGTGTAGAAAATTTGTTTAGTAAAGAGTTTTGAAAAGAGTTTTGATTTGAATGGAGAATTATTGATGTGACATTTGATATTTGATACAAAAATTTACAATTCATAACTAAACATACAATTCAAAATTATTTTAAAGCACATAAAAAATTTAGAAAATATTTTTTTCGATTATATAAAAATTAGGGATGAAATCGGTTCGGTTCGGTCGGTTTTTTCACCATTTTTGCACCGAACCGATCATTTCGGTTTTTTATATTTGTAAACCGAACCGCCCAGAAAAATGACATAAACCGGCGCGGTTCGATTTATTACGGTGCGGTGCGATTTTTTCGGTTTTTCAGTTTTTTAGCCCTTTTTTTTCCTAGTTGGGCCTCACATTTTGGGCCTATATTTCAATCCATTTTGCATAAAATTTGGGCTCAGGCCGTATAATTCCTACATATGTTTGGGGCCTCACATTTTGGGCTTATTAATATTATATAAGTCGGTTCGGTTCGGTTAAAAAAATCTAAAACAGAAAACCGAACCGAATGCGCAGAAAAGCAAAAATCGAACCGAACCGAACACTTGAAAACTTAAAACACCGACCGAAAATCGTTCGATTCGGTCGGTTCAGTCGGTCCTTCCGGTTATTCTTTCACCCCTAATAAAAATTAATATACAAATCGCAAAAAAAAAATAAAATAATAATCACTAGTCCGGCCGTCAGGCAAAATTTTCAAAAAAAAAAATCTTGAAAACAGCGACTGAGACAGAGCGCTCTGCAGAGTTTTCAAAAGGTGATTACAAAACACCTACCAAACAGCATACGTGAGTGATGCTGCTGAATCATGATTTCAGAATATAACCAAACACAGCTGAAATCTTTGATTTTTTGGTATGAGTTGTTGGCTCTTTGATTTTTTTGATTTTTTGGCTAAATCGATCGCTTCCCAAACGAGGCCTAAGATAGTTTAGTAATTTTTTGATTTTTTTGTTAAAATATAAGGTAAAAAAAATTAGTGGACTTGTTTGGTTTGTATTTGAGAAACATGTTTTGAAATAAAAAGTACGAAAATTTGTTTGGTTTGCTTTTTTTTCAAAAGATGTTTTGAAAAATTATTTTGAGAGAGAGTTTTGAAAAAAGTGATTGATTTGATGTGTATGAGAGAGAGATTTGTTTGGAAAATTTGTAAACCAAACAAGTTTTGAAAAAAAAATTTAGAAAAATTTGTTTGGTTTGATTAACTTTGAAAACTTATTTGTAGAGAATTTTTCCCAAAATTTTTTGAGAAACACAAACCAAACAAGGCCAAAAATTCTTAGTTTCTTATGGTCTCCCATATGCATTTGACCTGCTAAAGGTAGTATGAAAACAATATTCACGTGTTTTGCAGCTTCTGTCAAATTATGATTCACTTTTGATTTAAGGAGAAGGTGAAAACATGAATGGATATTTCTTTATATTTATTGGGGAACAGATTCAATTAATCCCTCATATCTCTTCACAAATTACATGCTTTCCGTTAAAAAATCCATCTTGCTCAACTGCTTTTGGTGGTTGGAATCTGTTTGGGTCATCTAAGCAACTGTTTTCATATTTGTTCTGACCATCTCTTTGTTCTGTTCCCAGATTTGATGGCAACATAAAATCTGCTGACGCATCACCATTCAATCATTCTGTGCTCCACAATGTGAATATTCCAATATGGTTAGTGGCAAAGAGATGGGAGATTCTATTTCCATGTGCCAGATAGGTTTTCAAAGAAAAGCCCTGCTTGAAGCCTCTTCTTATTTCATATTTGATGCAAATATGCTCTCAAAGTAATTGAAGTATAGCACATATTTGGTGAATATTTGTGGGTTTTTAACTTTTATCACTTTGTGTTCGTTTCCTTTGATTGCTGCTCTGCCCAATGTACTTGTATTCTTGTTCCAAACTCTTCACTACTTTTGTCCCATTTTTAGAGTCACTTTGATGCACCTTACTCGTTTTAGGGTTTCAATTTCTGGGTATTTGATACATTGTGCCTTTGACAATCTTATTTTGTAAACTAGCAGATAGATCGGGGAAGATATATATATATATATATATATGGGGCAAAGAGAATCTGGTGTTGGAGCTGTACTTTTCTAAGGTTTTGGGTATAATCAATTTGACTAGTTCTTGTAAAATAGATGGTCATGGATAAACAATTGAGAGGCTATTATGGTTCAGTGAACAGAATCAAATATGAAGAAGAAACCGATTCGAGCCTCTCAGATCGGAGTTTTATCACTGGGTTCAATGTTGGTGGTACATGTATGGATCAAAATTTCTTCAATCTTTCTCCATTTCCACCTGATCTGAACCCAGGTGTCATCTCGCCTTCTGATTTTACCACTGAGAGTGATTCTCATGAGGATTGTGATTTTAGTGATGTGGTTCTTAAGTACATAAACCAGATGCTCATGGAAGAAGATATGGATGAGAAGACTTGTATGTTTCAAGAGTCTGCAGCTCTCCAAGCTGCAGAGAGGCCATTCTATGAGGTCCTCGGGGAGAAGTACCCCCCTTCTCCCAATCACCGTCTAATTCATTACACGGATCAAAATATTGAAATCCCAAATGAATTTTATGCTGAGCAATCATACTATGGGGTTATTGGGGATAAGTATCCCTCTTGTCCTGATCACTGCCTAATTCATTATGCAGATCAAAATATTAAAATCCCTACTGAATTTTACGGTGGCAGTAACTATAACACTAGCAGCTGTAGCAGTAGCAGCGGTGTAATGGGTCCGGGTTTGAGTTGTGATAATAGTGAGAACGAGTCTTCTCTGGTACGAAGTGCGGTCACAGATCTTGGTTCACAGTCCATTTCTCAGTCGTCTTTTGGCTCATCTAATAGTACCTGTAATGCCATAGATGGACTCGTGGATTCACCCATGAGTAGTACCCTTACAGTTTGTGATATTTTCAATGATAGTCAGTCTGTCTTGCAGTTTAAAAGAGGGGTTGAGCTAGCAAACAAGTTCCTTCCTTGTGGTGACGATTTGTGTCTTGATTCGGGGAGTAATTTAGTTAAAGAGGCAAAGAAAGAGGTGAAGGACATGGTCGTTAAGTTTGAGAAAAAGAACGAAATCGAATATTCTCTTGATGGATCAAGGGGAAAAAAGAATCCTTATCACGAAGAGTTGGATTTGGAGGAAGGGAGGAGTAACAAGCAGTCGGCAGTTTATGCTGAAGCCACTGTGAGATCAGAAATGTTTGATATGGTTTTGCTATATGGAGGGAAAAGCGAATCAGCTCTTCGCAAAGTGTTGCAGAATGGAGTGAACAAAAATATGCAGCAAAATGTTCAACCAAAAGGATCTAAAGGTGGGAAGGCTCGGGGTAAGAAACAAGGAGGTGAAAGGGATGTGGTAGATCTTAGAACTCTCTTAACGCTTTGTGCTCAAGCTGTTGCTGCCGATGATCGAAGGAGAGCAAACGAGCTATTGAAGCAGATCAGGCAACATTCTTCCCCTACTACTGGGGATGGGATGCAGAGAATGGCTCATTATTTTGCTGATGGGCTCGAGGCACGGATGGCTGGCTCAGGAACCCAGAGTTACAAGGCGGTTATTACCAAACCAACATCGGCTGCTGAGATTTTGAAAGCTTACCATCTGTTTCTTGCAGTTTGTCCATTTAAGAAGCTCTCTAATTACTTTGCAAACAAAACAATTATGAACGTATCCGAGAAAGCAACGAGGCTCCACATTATTGATTTTGGTATTCTGTATGGTTTCCAATGGCCTTGCCTCATTGAACGCCTCTCGTCTAGGCCTGGTGGACCTCCCAAGCTTCGAATTACTGGGATTGATCTTCCGAATTCGGGTTTCCGACCAGCAGAACGGGTTGAGGAGACAGGCCGTCGCTTAGCTGATTATGCAAGGTCTTTCAATGTTCCATTTGAGTTCAATGCTATAGCACAGAAGTGGGAAACAATTCAGATTGAAGATCTCAAGCTTGATACGGATGAGGTGCTTGTAGTCAATTGTCATAATAGATTTAGGAATCTACTTGATGAGACTGTCGTGGTGGAGAGTCCAAGGGACATTGTCCTGAACCTGATCAGGAAGATAAATCCGGATGTTTATCTACATGGGGTCATAAATGGCTCATACAATGCTCCCTTTTTTATTTCACGTTTTCGGGAGGCTCTTTTCCACTACTCTTCTTTGTTTGATATGTTGGAGACTAATGTACCTCGTGAGATTCATGAGAGGATGCTGCTTGAGAAACAGGTATTTGGATGGGAGGTGATGAATGTGATTGCGTGTGAAGGTGCGGAGAGGATTGAGAGGCCGGAGACGTATAGGCAGTGGCAGGTCAGGAATCTGAGGGTTGGATTTAGGCCACTACCTTTGGACCGGGAGATCATGAATATCGCCAAAGAAAGGGTGAAAACGTGCTACCACAGGGATTTTGTGATCGACGAAGATGGTCATTGGATGTTGCTTGGGTGGAAGGGAAGAATAATTAATGCACTTTCTTCTTGGAAGCCGGCTTACTAGAAGGCACGTTCATTGCAACCTGTGGAAGGGCAAGGTTGTGGGTTGGCACGATGCTTATCTTGCTCGGCGTTTTCCTTTGTGCTCTATTCAATTTTGTTGTCCTATTTGGAATTGGAAGCCGAGGTATTGACATCTCTCTCTCTCTCTCATTTGTGTGCACACACACATGCATACAACCCCATATAGATCTTGCATAGAGGTTTCTACACTTGGAAGCATGGACACGGATACAACACAGGCTTACCGACACAATAGTTTTCAAAAAATGTAGAACATGACACACGGGGATTCAAAATATATTCATATATATATATATATATATATCATTCAAAATTAATAACAAAATGCAGCATAACACTAACTTCTATACATATATATATTTACATTGTTTTTCTTTTTATAAATCTTGAGGCCACCACTTTGTGTATTATGCCAAAGGTTAGGTGTGTACTCAATCTTTCTCCTCCTAAACACGCATTTATGTATACTAATTGGGCGTTATTTTATTTTATTTTATTTTATTTTGTAAATGTAGCTTAGGTTATTTTGTTCAAATTTATAAATTGTTTCATGTATGTCTAATTGATGGATGTGTGTTTAAGTGATAAGATAGATACGTGTGTCCTCCAAGTATTTGAAGAGTGTCCGGTTAAAAAACAAAAAATGTGTGTCGACGAGTGTTGGTGTCCAACATTGATATGCCACTTTCTTAGAAGCGTCCGTGTTTCTTAGGATCTATATCAGATATACAAACTTGATATTGATAATTGCCCGCTGTGCTTTCTCAGCAGGTAAAGTGGAAGTAGAAGTGCTGCCTTCCTACTTTGTACTAAGATGGATCAGGAAAGCAATTTACAGGTGCCATTAATCACCAATTTGATCGAAGAATGAAAAGCAATACATCAAGTAACCGTGTTGCCCTAATACTTCCTGGTAACTTGGTGATGACTTTATGAACTTTTGTCAGTTTTCAGACAAATAGTCAGTTGGTAACACAGACAGAAGCTTTTTGTCATACAAAGGTCCCTTTATTTGATCCGCGAATCGCGCTTAGGTCAGTCTTTTAACTGTTTTGCTGAAATGTAAAGTGGGCTTTTAGATTAGATGTTGTTCATATTCTTCTTGTTGCTTAATGATCATCTTGTTTCATATTTCTCAGAATTAATATTATTGTTAATCTTGTAATGTTGTTGACACCTGTGCACATTTTTCTTAATTCTGTATAAGCGTGTCCCTAATCATTGTGTCACATTTTTCTTAATTCTGTATAAACGCGTCCCTAATCATTTTATTTATTTATTTAAAGAATGGCACACATCATGGATTACGATTAAGTTTGGTATAGCATGACCTCTACTTGCTGTGATTATTGTATAGTTGTTGCTTTAATAGATGACTTGTGGGAGGAGCAGGAGGGTTTTGATTTGTTTTTTGCATTTTGACTTGAACACATGTAAGAAATTGAAATTAGAACCAACATGACATATTCATGATGCATGAAAATAGAGAATAAGAAACTAGGATTGAAGAGTTGACATAACAATCTGACAAACAATCAGATGGAGATAGTGACAGAGCTTTGAATTGCAGTTCATGACATTGGAGGCCTACCTAATTCTGCAAATTATTTCTCTATCAAAGCAGCAGTTATTATTATTATTATTATTATTATTATTATTATTTTCAAGCAAACTTGAGGGTTGAAGCTTTGCTAAAGAAAATTGTTGTTTTTCTTCGAATATTATGGTTTTATGCATAAAAGAAAACAAATCTAAGCATAATAATGGGAAAGAAAGAACATTTTTTTGCATATCTTGCAGTGACAAAAGGCAACCTACGCATGCTTACCAAATTATTGTCTGGAAAATGTAAAAAATGTTAGGTTGTGTTTGAATTTATGGATTTGAAATGAATGTATTTGACATCGATAATTTAAAAATTAGTCTTCAATTCAATGTATTAGATTTAGATATTAAGAATAAATTAAGAGCTTTATATTTATGAATTTTAAATATCGTGGTAAAAATAATTAATTGACAATTTTTCATAAAAGATTAATATGTTGACTGAGTTTATGTCATATCGACTGGTAAATGTAAACTATCAAATCAAATGACAAATAGCAAGCATTACATTCCTCTTAATACGAAGGAAAATGCTACTATATACAGTTATATCATATAATGTTTTTTTTTTTTTTAATTATGATTAATTTTTTTTTAATTATGACATTACTTTAATTATGATTCATAAAATTTTTGATTATACATCATATGGTGTTTGATTATGATTTTTTAAAAAATAAAAATAAATTAGACTAGAAAATGTAGAATTATGCTATTTTTTCTTAAATTATAATGTGCATATGATACATATATTTTCAAGAAAATGCTAATACAAAGGAATGTAGACTACTTTTTGCATTTAAAATCAAAATTTTTTTTCTCACCAACTCAATTAATTTTAAATTGATCACGAAAACATGTTATGTTTATTTTTATTCTCTATCATGTAAATATTAAGGGGTGTTTGATAACAAGATTGAACACTTAATATTAAGGGGTATTTTCTATCAATTAAATTTATTTGATAATTATAATAGATATCACTTAAAAAATTAAGTATCTTTTAAAATATAGGTTAAAATTTAAGAAAATTTTAAATCATATGAAACTTACTTAATTTTGATTAAATTTATAAATACTAAACATAAGTATTGATATACACTATTATAAATTCACCACCACTATTACCGTTACCACCACTGCCGCCACCCCACTACCACCACTACCATGCCACCGTCGCTACCATTGTTGTTGTTGTCGCATGACTGCTACTATTACCATTACCACCACAACCACCACCATCATGCCACCGCCATTACCACCACCATGGCACTGCCACTACTATCACTACCAATGCTATCGCTATCACTACTACTGTCACCACCACTACTATCATGGCACCACCATCATTACTACTACTACAGTTATTATAATTGTCATTATTACTATAAGTACTACAATAATTTTAGTACCATTATTATCACTATCACCACCACCATCACAATATAAAAATTAAAATATATAATTTAAAAATAATAAATTTAAAATTTGATCTTATATATATCAAACAATTTATTTTTTTAATTTTTTAAATCATATGAAACTTACTTAATTTTGATTAAATTTATAAATACTAAACATAAGTATTGATATACACTATTATAAATTCACCACCACTATTACCGTTACCACCACTGCCGCCACCCCACTACCACCACTACCATGCCACCGTCGCTACCATTGTTGTTGCTGCCGCATGACTGCTACTATTACCATTACCACCACAACCACCACCATCATGCCACCGCCATTACCACCACCATGGCACTGCCACTACTATCACTACCATTGCTATCGCTATCACTACTACTATCACCACCACTACTATCATGGCACCACCATCATTACTACTACTATAGTTATTATAATTGTCATTATTACTATAAGTACTACAATAATTTTAGTACCATTACTATCACTATCACTATCACTATCACCACCACCATCACAATATAAAAATTAAAATATATAATTTAAAAATAATAAATTTAAAATTTGATCTTATATATATCAAACAATTTATTTTTTTAATTTAATACTTAAAATTTTATCAAATAATTTTTTAATTTAAAAAATTCAACATGCAATTTTTAACACTTAACTTTCAACTTTCAATATTCACTTTATTAAACATGGGAAAAATTACCCGTAGGTCCTGTTTGAAATATTTGTATACTATTTAATCCAACAACTTTTTGAGTGGACCCAAAAGTCCAACACGTTTCCCCCCTCTCTCTCTCTCTCACTCTCTCTGCGTTTTCTCTCATTCTTTACGTTTTCTCTTGTTAAAATCCACCTACTCTCCACCTACTTCACTCACTTAAACCTACTCTACTAAACCTAACCCACTACACCACTACCACCTCACCTACTCCACTAAACCTAACCCACTACACCACTACCACCTCCACTTCACCTACTCCTTACCTACTACACACTCACCCTCTTCTATATATAGGAATCATGAATCATTGTAATAGATATCAATATAGATCAATCAATAATACTACAATTTTAATATGGTATCAGAGCAGGTTTAAAACCTAATATTTTCGCTTCCCCGGCGGGCGGCAACCTCATTTTAGCTGCCCGCCGGACCTCACCCTAGTCTGCTAAAATTTTCTACACATACCTTGAAATTTCCTTTCTTCAACCTGCTAAGTGCACCACAGACAGCACACATAGACACATACAATTCTCTCTCTCCTGCCACTTTCTGGGACGATGACGAGAATAAAGAATGGACACTACTGGTTCTTAATAACAACGATAGTAGTGATATCAATGTGTTTATCATCGTCTTCGTTGGCTTTTCAATCAGACGAACTTTTGCTAGACGACGAAGAGTTCGGGCTCGAAGGGGCCGATCTCCTCCTGTTACTCGTTCACAGCCAACTAGCCCCGCCCGAACCAAATCATCGGCTCCGGACTCCAAAGTCCAGTTCCCGCTCGAGCACGCCTTTGGGGACTCCGACTTCTCCGCCGCCGGCACCGTCACCTCCACTCCCCCCGTCGTCCGCAAATGGCTCCGAACCACTCTCTGCCATCGCCGCCGCATCCTCCACCATCTCGTCGTCGGCCTCGGCGTTCAATGGCTCCCAGGCTACCGACCCAGTCCCGCAGCCACTCTCCAACTCTGCGTCGGACGCCGTTGCCTCATCTTCCAGCTCCTTCACTCCAAGACTCCACCCACCTTCGCCGAGATCTGCAGAGGAGGCCACACACCTCGCTTCACAATCCTCGGCTTCCACAGAACTCCCACAGAGGCATATATGTGATTCCTACACACACACCCTGTTTCTCTCATTGATGGTCTAACTTTTTATTTTTTTATTACTATTATTATTATATCACATAATCCATGCACTCCTGTTCCCCATTCCACTATTATTATTATTATTTTTTTTTATATTTGTTTTAATCCCTCTTTTGCAAAGCCACCGACAGTTTGCACACCTATCATCATTTTCTTTTATTTTATTTTACCCCCTCATCCTATTTTGATCATGATAATTATGTCTTCACTACCCCACTTTCTTTATTTTATATCTATATCTCTCTTTTTTATTTTTATTCTACCCATATTATTATTATTATTATTATTATTTTCAAAACAAAAAAAAAAAAAACAAAAAAAAAATCCTTCCAGTTGATTTTTCTGCATTACCACACCTACCATTCGCGTTTGCCAAACACACTTGCTTTATTCATTTCAGGGATCAACCCCGATCATACTTTTACACACACAAAAAAAAAAAAAAAAAAAAACCAAAACAAATATAATTTGTTCACATTTGTTGTTAAAAAAATAGGTAATAAATGTAAAATTTACAATAATCTATCTGATATATATATATATATATAATTTACACATAAAAAATTAAAATTTTAATAATTTAAACTATTAGAATAGAATCAGCCTCCGTTTGGGAAGTGGGTTGGCTTTTTGGCTTTTTGGCTTTTTTGGCTATTTTAGCCTGGGCTTAAAAGCTTGGTTTGGTCTCTAGTTCATTGGAAGATTTGAATCAATTTTCCTGAAAAGCTGTTGGCCATTTGCTTAGGTTACAATTCAGTCAACCTTCTTTTTTGTTACAAATAATACTCAGTTTCTTGCTTCCTCTTAATGAGTAGTTTTTGGTAGAATGTTACATCGCTATAATGCACCAAAAAAAAAAAAAGGAACATCATTTGTTGATAAACCCTATTGTATGCTTCTACAAATTGCTTATTGCAGCTTATTTTAAAGTATTGTTTTTGGGTGATGCAGGGTAATGATGGTGAAGATATAATTTCTAATTTACGCAATGGAGCTGCAGCTGAAAATGCTCTTGCCATAATGCAAGAAAGGGGTTTTTCAAATCCAAGAAGATCTAGGCATTGGCTGACTCCTGGAACAGTCAAATTTGTTGCGTTTCATGTTCTTTCTCTTGAAGGAAGTAATGGCCTAACAATATTAAGAGTTGCAGAAAAGATTCAAGTAATCAAAGATTAGTATTTTATGATCCTTGCATTGTCTGTTATCCCTTCAAATTATTTAATCTTTATTTTTTCCCATGTAAGAAATCTGGTCTTTGAGACCTCACAACAAGCAAGACACCTGAAGCATCTATCGTTGCTGCATTGTCAAGAGATTTAAAGCTTTTTGAAAGAACAACTCCTTCGACATATTGTGTGCGTACCCCTATAGGAAGGATCCTGTTGATATTGAGGCAATCCTTTTTGCAGCCAGGGAAAAAATTTAAATATTTAAAAATGGATATCTTGATGAAGAAGTCTTATCCTCTTTTATTTTTATGTATTTTCTTGTTTTGTTATTCTCTCCAAACTCAAGTTGGTTAGTTCCTATCCCCCTTGAGTTTGCGGGGGGCTGTTAAAATCCACCTACTCTCTACCTACTTCACCCACTTAAACCTACTCCACTAAGCCTAACCCACTACACCACTACCACCTCCACTTCACCTACTCCACTACACCACTACCACCTCACCTACTCCACTAAACCTATCACCTACTTCACCCACTTAAACCTACTCCACTAAGCCTAACCCACTACACCACTACCACCTCCACTTCACCTACTCCTTACCTACTACACACTCACCCTCTTCTATATATAGGAATCATGAATCATTGTAATAGATATCAATATAGATCAATCAATAATACTACAATTTTAATATCTCTCTTTTTTTTTTTCTTGTGATTTCCTCTCATTCTCTTTGTCATGTCCGACGACCGGTGATTACACCTTCTTTATTCTCTTTCTCTTTCTAATATATAGTCACCAGTGACCGACGACCACCATTGATTGGGGTTCACCGGCAACCATCAACCACCGACATTAACTCGTTACTTCATCCTCACCGATAGCGAAGAAAATGTAGATCTACTCAGATCTACATCAGATTTGAGTAGATCTACAAGAGGTCATACTAGATCTAAATAAAAAATAGTTGCTAGAGTATAATATTCTTTCCATATCTATTCTTTCCTTTAATTTCTCAAATTTTCTACTTTTTCTCTGTTACACACGTCTATTTTTCTGTTTTAATGAGAAAAATTTCAAATTCTAAATATTTTGTTTTTAAGTTTTAGTTTTTACAGCTTCAAATTTTTTGGTACTGAAATGAATCATGCTTTAAAACTATAAATTTTTGCAGTTTTATAACATTTTTTAGAATTGTAAAATTTTACAGTTTCATAACATGTTTTCCAGCTTAATAGAATAATGTTTTGAAACTATAACATTTTATAGTTTCAAAACTTACTTTTTAATTTGATCAATATTACAGATTATTTGCTTAAACCCTACAAAAATTGAAAAGTAATGTATACTTTTTCCCATTGTTATTTGTTGTTGTTATGTTTTTTATGTATAATTTCTCCATTTCTTCTTCTTCTTTTTTTTTAGGGGGGGAATATTCTGAATATTTCGATGAGTCTCCGATGATATTCTTGATATTTTCTAGTGATGTTCAGAACACTCCGACAAACTTTCGACGATGCTCAAAACACTCCGGCAAACTTTCGGTGATGCTCTAGCGACTTCTCGGTGATATTGAATAATCCGGAGAGTCTTCGGTGAGTCTGACAGAAGTCGTTGGATCTAGCAGCATTTTTAAAGTTATAAAAAAAATAAAAATTAGTAACAATTAAAAATATGTAGAACTAATTGGTGCAAATATTTTGTTTTGGGATTAGATGGATTTTGAACTTTGTGTATAAGACTTATTGGTAAGTGTCCCATTAAACATCAACTAAGACCCCAGTTGGAATGGGATAAGAAGTGAGTTTCTTTGCGTTGTTCTGGAAAGATGGTTAAAAGTTAATTTTTTAATTTTTTTAATTTTTTTTAAAAAAAATATAAAAAATATAAAAGATAATGTGACCTAAAATAGATTAAAAATTTTTAACCATCTTTTTAAAATAATCCTTTGATTTATTAGGCAAAATAAGTCAAACATCTATTTGTCATTAAAAACATTAAATAAACCAAAAACTAAAAAATCAAAACACACGTGAATTTTCACTCAAAAAAAAAAAAATAAAAATTAACAACTTTTTAAATATGTCAATTTTTTAAAATTATAAAAAGATTAAAAAAGTACTAAAAAAAACCCCCCGAAAAGTTTTTGCTAAAAACAAACTGAGTTAATATTTAGGACTTACAATAATGAAAATGTTTTGGATAAAATATATTTCCCAAAATTTGTTTAAAATATGCGTTATTGTATGTGATTTTGAAAATTATAAATATTTCATTATTAGAATTTTTAAAATTTTTAACTATTCTTCTATGTAATAATAAAATTATTTAAATTATTAATTAAAATATATTTTTGACATCATTAAATATTATTAATTACCTTAATGATTCATTAATAAAAGAATAAATTATTATGTAATTAGAAACATGAAGGAATGAAATGTAATTTTTAAAATTATAAAAAAATTCATATTTTATAATTTACCCAAATGTTTTCAGAAAAAAAAAAAAGTGAAAAATCTTAAAATACATCTAGGTCCAGGGGCGCAGTTCATAAGGGTTTTTTGATTGCTAAACCCGAGAGAGAGAGAGAGAGAGAGGATGAGTGGGGCAGGAGCACCCGATTTCTTCTACAGAGAAGCTCAGCGCCTTGGTTACGTTGCTCGCTCTGCCTTCAAGGTCTCTCTCTCTCTCTCTCTGTTCTTCTTCTATGGTTTTTCTTTTTCCCTTTTTATGTAACTGGTTTGTGTTGCAAGAGAGCAGCTGCTTCAGATGCAGAAGCAATACAAACTCATCAAACCCGGTTCTTCCATTCTCGACCTTGGTTGTGCTCCTGGTGCCTGGCTTCAGGTCTCTCTCTCTCTCTCTCTGTGTGTGATCTTTGTCATGTGTTTTGAGTCTTCAAGAATGTCATTGCGTTCATGGGTTTTAATTTTTATTACTTGAATTGAACTCAGGTAGCTTGTCAGAGCTTGGGCCCATTAAAAAATGGTGGTGTAGTTGTGGGCATTGACCTCAAGGTGATTTTTATCACTAGACACTGTTTGATTTGATTATTTGGTTGTTCACTCAATTAGGTTTGTTTGTGTGTGTATTTTAATTGTAAAGATTTATAGGAAATGGTTTTCTGGGTTGTGTTTTTTTAAATTTTGGGGAATTTGCAGAACAGAAGGTGAAGGTCCCTTCTCTCCATTGTGATGCTAGGGTTCGCACGGTTTGTGCTGATGTCATGAACCTCCCCAAATGCCAAGTTAAAGCACTCTCTCCTCAGGTATAATAATCAATCAATGAATTATGAATTATGAATAATGTGTGTTGGCACATGCAATGCAATGGGTTAAAAGTTCTATTCTAAACCTCATTTTATACATTAATTTGTGTTTTAAATTGTTTTGCATTGATGATCAACAAGAAATCATATTGTTTTAGGCATTTTGGTATCAGATTCTTCAACAAGGCATTGTTGCTGCTTAATTGACAGCAACCTTAATTATACCCCAGACACTATGGTTTTCCATTCCCCTATCCAGCTTGCGAAACGTAATTTAAATTACTAAGTCATTTGTTGTTGCTTTTGCCATTATTCGTATTATTAAGACACCTAATAAGGTTAGAATATTGAAATTGCTTTTGCAATGATTTAATTATTTTTGCCCCTAGAATTATTAATGAGGTGGAGCAGATGCATTTTATAGTGCATTTTGATCAATGTGATTATCTTTCATAATATATATCCTTTTTATGCTATACTTCATGCTTTATGGCCTTCCTCTGATACCTTTATTTCTTCCTTTCCTGGTGCATTTCTAGCATTTTGTTCATATCAATGTTATCAATCCCGTACCGTACCGTACCGTACCGTACCGGCTGGTATGTACTGTTTCAAAAGCAAAACAGTACCTACATAGTCCAATTGCGTTTCGCTTAAAATACCGGCCAATACCGGCTGGAAAACATAATACCGGGTAAATACTGGCCAAATATATACATATTTTTTTTGTGTAGAGTTTGTAATATTAAAATGGTAAAACTCATGTTCCATATTTCTTTGAAGTATCTTAATTTGTGTTATTTAGCAGACATAGTATGCTTTTAAGCCTCTTTTATATATAAATTTGTGATTCATGATATGTATTGTTAAATTATTTATTGCTAAACAGTATTTTTACTACATATATAATATTTTTGTGATAAATTCGAAATGGTATCCGGTAACCGTACTGGTAGGTATCATGCCAATGGAAAAATGGTACCTAGTCCGGTACAGTATTAACAACTTTGGTCATATTATTGTTGATGAAAAGAAATTCAATGTAATTCTCCATGCTCAGTCAATGGCTTGCATTCTCATAAAATTCTCAGTTGGTTTATACTTCTTCCTTATCCCCCCATACTCTCCCCCGCTTCTTTTCCTTAGGTTATGGGAAATATTTTGTTGTGATGTCATGGATTTATAGGTAAGATTTACATTCTTGCTTAAAAAAAATAAAAAGTAAATTTGATTGCCCCAATGCCCTAGAATTGTGAAGCGCTGTGTCCCAACTTCCTCATCTTTTGAAGCAATTGTAGCAAGAAAGGATTCTACTTATATCAACAACATACAATGCTCAGTTACGCTATGGTATGTCTGCTGACTGAAATGATTTCTCAAAGAAATTGGGAAGCCACCTATATTCTTTCCTTTTAGCATCTCATGTGCCACTAACCTTACGTGGAAATGGTTAGGTCAGTACACTAAAATTGGGAAGCCACCTATATTCTTTCCTTTTAGTATCTCATGTGCATTTGTTATATCAACTAGTGGTAATTGAAAACACGTCCCATTTCTCTCTAAATCAACTTTAGTGTTGCTATTATTAGATCTCTTCCCAAGTGCCAAACTAAAGAGCTGATGTGGCTTTGGTTTGCCAATTTTGCAGCAGCTAGGGTTTTCAGTCATACTCTCAGATATGTGCCCCCTAGTTTCTGGAATCACAACAAAGGATGCAGCCTTATCCGCTGAGTTGGGGATGCGAGCACTTGATTTGGCTGTTGGAGGGACTGCTATTTTAGACGATATTATTCAAAGGGAACGGCAATCAGATGGCTCTGATTCTAGTCCAGATGATCGTGGTGTACTAAAACGTGGGGGCCACCTTATCATTAAGTTTCTAGAGAGTGAAGATGTGCAAGGTATGTTTTTATTCTTCAGAATATGTACTATTTTATTTGCTAAGTTAGTTAGTCTGTGCATATACGTTACTTTAAGTTGTTTGCTGTGTAGAATTCAGTCGAATTTGCAAACCACTCTTTAGAAAGGCATCATGGTTGAGGCCTAAAGCCACAAGATCATCTTCCAGAGAGATTTATTTGATATGCCAAGGTTTGCTATAATGGGTGACTTTGGAGAATTGGCGGTCAAATGATTGGTTCCCAAAGTGTAGGAACCAGAAGTCTTTGCTTTAAAGTGGCATAAGATTTACTATTTTTGTAATTTAGGGATTTTGATCCTGCCCTTTGTAGTGTAAAAACATGGAGACTGTTTGTACTCCCCAAACTGTGCTTTAATGGAATACTTTGGAAATCTTTTCAGCCATGGCAGGTAAGAAAATTTGTATCATTAATGACACGATCTACAAATTGGAAATCTTTTCTTGTTAACACTTTGCTTGGCTCCTTTTTAAAAAAAGGATTCAGCTTGTCTCAAGTTGAGATCAAGACTGGACTCGTCCAGTTCGGTCCATGGGGTTCATTTTTTGGGCCCGTTTTGATAATCCGAACCGATCAATGTGTCGAGTTCGTCGAGTTTACATGATTGTAAAAAATCACGTTGATCGGATATCAATAGCTATGTGATCAAATCAGTTTTGTATAAAAAAAAATAGACGGTGAAACAATTAACGGTTGATAAAAAATTGTTTTGTTCACATAGCTATCGATATCCGATCAACGTGATTCTTTACAGGCATATAGTACTCGACGAGTTTTACACATTGAACAGTTTGGATTATCAAAACGGGACCCGTGGTGGGCCCTCATGGGCCCAACAGCACGGTTCAGTCCGATTTTGGATTGGACCAAAGCCACTGCCTTTACAAAAATAATTTTCAGAAAATTCTACTTTCTTGTTTTCTTTGTTGTTTTGTTTTTACTGAATTTTTTTAAATATTTTAAACATTTTTTTTTTTACTTTTTAGACATACTTTACATGAATACACCTAAAAAGTAAAAAAATCGTAAAAAACCTTTTTAAAAATTCACTAAATACAAAAAAAAAAAAAACCAGAATTTAGTACATCTTTTATATTTTTATGTATTTATTAATTTTTTAAAATATTTTTTCACAATTTTTTTATGTTTTAGATACATCTAAATTTAGAAAAGTAAAAAAAATATTTTAAAATTTAAAAATATTTATTAAAAATAAAAACACACGAAAATCAAAAAAATTAATTTTCAAAAAATTTAATTCAAAAAATTAAAATCAAACGCACTCATATATTGAAAAAAATTTCTCATAGACTGCGGAAACATTTGGAAAGAGAATCTCCACTGCAACTTTGACACAGGAAATAAAAAAAAAACAAAAATGTTGTGTTTGGTAGAGTTTTCTAACTATGATTTGAGAATATGAGTTGTATTTTGAGTTTATCAGTTTTGGAATTATGATTTGAGTATAGAAAATTTTTTTGATGAATGAGTCTTGAATCGAATGAGAAATTTTTGATGTAACATATGATATGTGATACAAAAATTTACAATTCATAACCAAACATACAATTTAAAAATCTATGAAAAGCTTATAATTTTTTTTTTAAAATTCTAAAAATATTGTTTTATTAAAAATATAATAATAAAAAAATAGTGCCAATTGTTGATGCCCACTCATGGTTCTCACTCTCTTGCACCTACTTAGGACGTCCGGCAAGTCAACCGGTTAAAGCCAAATTTAAAATAAAAAAAATTCTGCCTGACAGAGTGTTTTCTGTAAAGTTTTCTATTTAGTGTGGAAATATGATTTGAAAATCCTATCCAAACATGGTATTAGAATGTGGGGGTAGAATTATAATTTGAAAATCCTATCCAAACATGGTTATTAGAATGTGTGGATAGAATTATAATTTGAAAATACAACCAAAAGGAATGGCCAACCCACATCGAAACTGATTCCCAGCTAGCTATGGAATTCATTTGGGACGGAGCTGCTGCGAACTCACCATATCGGGCACTCATCAAAGATGCCAACTTCATCCTCAGAAGATGCCAATGCACCACCATTGCCACAAAAGCCAGGGAAGCAAACCACACTGCAGATGCTTTGCTAGTTAATGACATGATCAATGTTGGATCAAATATCCCATGACTTTAGTTCTGCAATCTGTTATTTATCTTCAATTGAATCAAAAAAAAAGAAAAAAGAAAATACAACCAAAAGAGCCGAAATTTTTATTAACCTTTCAAAATCCAGTCTGAAATATCAAGTATTGACATTGAAATAACTTCAAAAAAAAAAAAAAAAAAAAACACTTTACAATTGTTTAATCTTTGAAAAAAAAAACTTGCCATTAAACACTAGTCACTGCACTTGAAAAAAATAAAATAAAATCTGCCACCTCTCCCCGCCAGCATCTGAAGTATAACATCTGCATTTACAAAATAATCAAACAGAAAAGCCGGCCAATTTGTCATCGAATTTGAGTTCTTCCTAATGACCAAACTCCCGTGTCCTTAACAAGTGCCTGAAATAAAAACGCAAATTATAAATTAATTAGAAGAACAAATCAATTTTGATCAGTGTGACGGCTTCACTTACTGGTGTTTTCATGGATGGGAATACATTCCAAAACCGCAGTGTCTCATCCCCTGCTCCTGTCACTATTGTCTGCATAAACAAGTTCAGAAAGATAATTAGAGTTCCATAATGAGATATCCATACAAAAAGATACATGTGGTCAAAAAGCATAAGGATTTAATGCAATACCTGGCCATCAGGTGACATGGCAAGATAGAGTACCCGCAAACTATGGCCAGTTAGAGTTGCAACCTATCAAAAGTGAAATGCAAAGGAAAATTACATTTGAATTAGGTTATCTAAAACTTGATTTGAAGAAATCATAATGCTCTAAGGTCACAAAGTACCTTCGCCATTGATGGATATTTCCACACCATAACTTGATTCTGGGAATACCCATGAGTGCTTACTAGCTCATTCACATTTTTACTCCATGCTAGATTGCATACCTGGAAATTAAGCAGCTAAATTTTGTAAAGAGCCCCTAATAGCGAAAGTTGTTTTAGGAGCATGAAAAATGGTCATCGAGACATTTTTGTAAATGTATTATGTTGGCATTCTCACCTGGCTCCCTGTGTCGACACTGTTTAACTGATTGCCATTCGTAGTGTTCCAGAAGCGAATGCACCGATCAGCAGTTCCACCTCCAGATGCGAGAAGGCCATTCTGGTGGGGCGACCAAGCAATGGCCTTGACAGCAGCTGTGTGCTCGGTCAGCTTTAGAACGGGCTGCTGAGAATGCTGGTTCCATACCAAAAGCTGATCACCAAACATATGACAACAAAGCAAATGAATCAATAATAAGGTTCATTGGGTCAATGAAGAAGAACACACAATCTAATTGATGAATGATTACCTGATTATCATTGCCTCCTGACGCAAGTTCCCGGTCATCATGAGACCATTTCAATCCACATACCTGAACGATTAAGAATGTAGTGTAAGCACAATAATACCATTGTCATTCCAAGTAGGTACTATATTAATTGATTGACTATTTACCTCAGATTTGTGGCCAACAAGCTTGCTAACGAAATCATTTGGTACACGAAGATCATGCTGAAGTATGTTGCGGTCTCTACTCCCAGAAGATAATATACGCGAGCTCCAAGCCAAGACACCAGTCCTTGTTTGATGCCCACTCATGGTTCTCACTCTCTTGCACTGAGTCCCATCCCAAACCTGAACAAGGAGGATAAATGCTTGGTGAATTTGAATCGTGTTTGTAACAATGATGTGACTTGACTACATCACAAATTTGGTGTATTACCTGAACTTGACCAAGATTTGTGCCAATTGATATGTATGAACCCTCCCGAGTCCACTGGACTGAGCACACACCGTCAGTAGGTCCTAAGTCGCACAACTTTGTCACCTGAGAACAACATAGCAAAATGTTAAATTAAATGTTATCTTCTCTTTTATTTTGGACTGACAGGTTGATCTTTTCATACTTGTTCCATCTCTTATGGTACTCAAGAATTTAAAACATACTTTGCTGGTTGTTGCAGTCCATAAATAAACACAGGTGCCTAATCCAACTGCAAGAACATTCTGCGAGGACCAATCAACTAAGTTCAAGTAGAAGTCATCTTGGAGTGATGGGGCATCTAGAACCTGCAAGAAGTATACATTTCCAATGATTACAATCATATAGCATACTATCCTTGGATAGTATGGTGATATACTACTTTCTCTCTTTCTTTCCTTTTTTTATTTGTTTTTTGGGAACCCCTTCAACTTAAATGAGGGCAGGTTTTGACCCAAGTCTCGTGTTAGCTTCATATACATTGTTGGATGCTATTTCCTAACAGTTCTAGTGTTTAAGAAAATTGTGATCTAACATGGTATCAGATTAAAAAAGATCGTAAATTCTCATATTCTTAATAGCTTGATATACATTATTGAGCTCATTTCCTAATATCTTAAGCTCAACTAGAGTAGAGAGGGACTTTACAAGCCAAACTAGTTAGCACCTACTAGTTGATTGAGTTTTGGTGAAATTAGTTTGTTCATTACATAAAATTAGAAGAATATACAATGTAAATCTAATTCCTAGTGGATCTGTCCCTAATTTGGGTATTCGTATATGACAGTAATGCCTAAGAAAAAGTTAAGGAAATGTAGGAAAATAAAAAATTATTGATATTCCACCCAAGAAAAAATTCAAATAAGCCTCCTAAAATTACATGTATTTTTCCACAGATTTCTCGGCAACCAAACACAAGAGCAAAATAAACAGAGCTCTCTGTACCTTATGGGGTGTCTTGGGCACCTTCCTAGGCGGCTTAGGAGGGGTCGAATTCTCCGAGTTGAACCCAGTATCACTTCCCAAAATCGACGGCGAGTAAGGCGAGTTGGGCCCCGAATGATCCGTCTTGAACCTGAACATGTTCTTGCTAGGACTCATCGGTGATCCCTGACCTGCAGGAGAAGAAAAAGACCCAAAATCAGACCCAAAAAGCTCGGATTTCAACAACCTCGAATAAGCCTCGTTCCCTCCCTCTTTGGCGGGAGAAGCCTTATCGACGAGGCCAAAAGTGTGGAGCCTAGAAGACGATCGGCAGGGTATGAATCTGTCGCTGCAAGACGCCGATTTCGACGAAGAAGGCGAGGAAGACAAGTTGGAGATCGTCCGAGGAGACATAGTCCTCGGGGATTGAAGATTCGATACGGTGCGAATCGGAGAAGAAGCAGAGAAGGTGTCGAGACGAAGAGAGGTCTCGGACATGGTAGCTGGGAGGTTGATCCCGCTTTTCCGCCTCTGGGTTGAGTCCATTTTTCCTAAAAAAAATTTTTCCTAAAAAAAAATTATGGGTTTGATTTGGAATTCGATGAAATGAGATGGGTTTGCTGGAGATTGATTGATTGAGAGAGCTGCTTGGTAATGGTAAACAGAGGGCTTTTCTAGGGTTTTTGAGTGAGAGATAGACAGAGAAAGAGAAGAGAAGAGAAGAGAAGGAAAGGAAAGAGAGCTGCTTTACTAGTTTTTGAAAGTGTTTTTAATTGAAGTATTTAGGTTGGTGAAGAGTGTGTGACAACGGTCAATTGTGTAGAGCAAGCTGTCTAATGGGCGCTGGATATCTCTGGGTGTGCCGCGGTTTACCTTTCCAAGTACCAAAAGTAGCCGTTACTCTTGGATTTGTGTACTTGTTTCTATTTCTATAGAACAATGCTCGGTGAGGTTGTGTGCATTTAACATTTCTCACTTTTATATGATTGTGAATATTAATTTTTTTATTAATTGTGATAGAGATTTTCACACATGTATGATCTCTATAATCTTCACTTTTATTCCAATCACTCATAATGTGAAGCTCGTACATACGTCAATGGCTAAGATTAAATTAAAAATCATAAAATCTTCAAAAAAAAAGTCCCAAACATTTTTCTTTTTTTATTCATCCCTTTCATTTAGGGGTAGAGGATGGGTTTAGTTCTCCTTCATTAAATCGTTTCGTTGTGGTACTCCGGATTGAATTTATCATATAAGATCAAAAGATTTACAAACACCCCCTCGAGATTTGGTAAAAATACAAATTCCCCCGAGGTTTGAGAAATTACAAATTGCCCCATGAGGGTCAAATTTTCATAACAAATTAGGAAAAATTAGGGGGAAATCTGTATGAAAATAAAAACCTTATGAGACAATTTGTTATGAAAATATAAATCTCAGGGAGCGGGATGTAATTTCTCAAACCTCAGGGGAGAATCTGTATTTTCACCAAACTTCGAGAGGGTGTTTGTAATTTGCCCAAAGAAAAAAGTATAAATACTATAGGGCATGTATTATATATATTTTATAAAAAAATGATATAATTTTATTTTTTTTAGTCATAATTTAAAAAAAGAAAATCATAACTAAACATAATATGAGACATAAACTAAAAAAGAAAATAAAATAATGTTATGTCATAAATAAAGAAAAAAAAATGATCATAATTAAAAAAGAAAGTAACATAATTAGAGATGCATATGGTATACCCTTTTCAAATGTGTATATATTAAAATTTTCCAAGATTAAAGAAGACTTTTTCATAATAAATAGAGATGTGAGACGAAGAAATGAGAACCACCTACCTGTAAGATTTACAATTTATATTATATATCTATGTTTTATTATGTGAAAATATTATGTTCGCTTGAATTTACTCTTTTGTCGTATGTCGTGGATCAAGATCAACTTTGACACAAGCACTGTCGATCAATGATTTTAGATAACTATTTATAAGGAATTTGGATGATGATCATACACACAGTTATGATTAGTTTTGTTAAATAAGTCTTCAAAATAAGTATTAATCCCTAGAGTTTTCCCTAAAAGTTCAAGTGTTAAAACATTACATTCATAAGGAGAAGTTTTGCAAAATGACCAAAAATATACCTTTCAATGCATACACACATTGAACAAGAAATCTATCTATTTAACCTTCTATTTATATTATCTGTCCAAATTGTGACACATATATATAAATAATAGGGTAAATTACACTCACCTCCCATGAGGTTTCTGACAAATGCAGGAACTTTTTCTGTGGTTTGAATAATTACATAAACCTCCCTTACTTTACTTGACATTCTCCAGATTCCCCCATTTTGTAACTTTTGTTAGCACAGATAATAGAAAATGCTGAGGTCATCAAAGATAATCCTAAAAATGCCAATAATGCCCTCAGGGCTCTTGAACCCAGCTATATATACCCAAGGCAATATTTCATCTTCAGAACCAAGCACAACACATATAACTGAAAATAGATAAAGCACAAGACAGAGCTCTACAACCCAGCACGACACAGGTATGCTACCATTCACATTCACATTAAGTAATTATTTAAAAAAAAAATCAAGTCCACACTTCACAGTCCAACATAAGTCACAGATAGAGCACAGTCAAGCACAATAATGTGATATATGTTCTAAAAATGCATTATGACTCTCACATTCCATAAAATCTAGGATCATATGGATATGTCATCATCAAGTAATAGAGGGGGGGTGATCAAGTATAGAAGTAAGATCTACTATTATGGGAGCAAAGCAACAATTAAAATCACTGAATCAGAGAAAAACAGAGGCAAATTGTATTATCTACGCCTACATGGGAAATGCTATTTCTGGGATTGGTGCAAACCAGTAAACTCATCTGTTGGAAGGCAAATGATAATGGAAGACACTAAAGCCATTGTTAACAAACACACTCTACCCTATGAAGAAGATACCACTACAGTGAATTTAATGAACCAAATAAGGGCTATGCAAATAATGATGCAAGTACTTGAAGTAAACATGGGATTTATAAAGATAGCAGTTGTAACGCCCTCAAATAAAACATAATCCAACCATTCAATAAATCCATAAAACATAATAGAAATATCATCTTTTCGTTTATCAGAGTTTGTATTATGATGGACATTACATGTTCACAACAAAATGAATGCCCTACGGGCTTACAGCTTTCCAAGTCATCACTTGGTTACAACAAAAAAAGTCCTAGCTCTATACATAGAAAGCCCTAGGCTTGAATATACATTTAACATCAAAACGAATAACAAAAAGGAGTCTTCAACTCCAAAACCTCCCAAGCTAAGATCTCGAAGGCGGCATATTACCTGTACCTGAAAAATGGTGTCCCAAGTAAGGTGAGCCAAAGCCCAGTACAGATATGCTAAACAACACATGAGAATTAACTAAAACATTAGCATTCGATAAATGTTTAGTACTAGTAAACCAATTTGCCTCTTTCCATAACCAATCAACATTAACATCCACATTTCAATCCACTTCCATTTATTTATCCAAATCAATTTGTTAACATGGTTCATTTTTATCGAACAAGTCAAAATGAGAATACAACTCATATCATCAACACTTCAATCATCAACATCATTCAGATGTATATAAAATTTCAAAACTTTCACCCTGGACACTCCGGCCAACTTAATTATCAATGGAGTCCATCCCCTATCTCCTCCCAAACAATAGAGGAAATTCCCTTTCTCCTCCCAAACAAGGATACATATGCAATGTATTTAAACACGTTGTCACATACAATGACCAATTAAATCACATATTCAATGCGTTAATCCAACCGTCATATTCAATGACATAATCCAATTGATTAGTTTCAATTTACCTAATCATCATGCAGTTTCTACAACAATCATGGCTATCCTCCACCGATAGCCCAAAACAGTTATTTTTAAACAGATAAATAAATCTATCAAACAGATAAATTATTAACTTTTCCATAGATGAGTGATCTTTCAATCCAACTACACCATTTAATCACAATTTCCCCAATTTCATAATTTCTAAACCAATTTCATATTTCCACATTGGTTTTACCACTTAAACAAATAATTTATATAGTGCAAATTAGGGCATTCTCTCCCTTTTCTCAAATGTTGCTCCTAAGGCCAAATTTCACCCATATTATACAAACAACCCCATTTTCAAGACCTCACATACACATATGGAGTCCAAAGTAGAAACCCCTCTTTTAAAATCTATAAACTCAAACCCCACTTTATGCAAACTTTCCAAATCCTACCATTTACACAAAATGACCAACATCTATGTTAAAACCCATGTAGGAGAGTAGAATATCCCTACCTCAAGAAGAGAAGATGAGCCAAGCAAGAGATTAGCTCTAAAGATGACGAAACCAACTTCCATTCGGATGAAAATAGAGATCTTGAAGAGCTCAAACTTTTTATCAAAGGAAAGAGGGTGAGGAGATCACTAGATCTAGGTCAAGATGTAAAGAGAGAGAGTATTTTAGAGAGAGAGGCTCTCAACTTAGGGTTTTGGAAAGTTTTAAAAAAATGATTTAAAAAGTCACTTTCGCGATCTGATATACGCACAGTTTGCTCGAGCAGAGAGTTTGACGCTCGAGAGTCAAACACATAGATTCGACCCGCTCGAGCGCAATAAAGGCCGCTCGAGCGCCAAGACACAATTGCAAGGCACTACCCGCTCGAGCGCAATGAGACCCGCTCGAGCGTTGAATACACTCGCCCAATATTTTACAGACTTTAGACAGTCGCTTGAGCGCCAGAAAGGCCGCTTGAGCTCAAACCTGCTCAAGCGTAAGAAACACCTCTCAAGCATGAAAAACACTTCCGCAGTATTTTTTTGGCAGACGTACAAAGTACTGAATGATTGCAAACCACGCTCGAGCGCAAGAAGACCCACTCGAGTGGAAGACCAAAATTCTGGGCAATAAGGTTCTAAACCAACAACCAACCACCCTGTTCTGAACATGCCCAAGACATTTCAAAACTTAAATTCAAAGGGTAAAAAGAGGAAAAGACATAAACAACAACATTAACCCACAAGACCCGAGTCTGGAACACTATAATGGTCGAGTTAGAAACCGGGATCGCTATAACCTCCCCCCCTTAAAGAATTTCGTCCCCGAAATTACAAATGAAGTTCAAAATCAATGTTTGGTCATTCCTAACCATGTTATTCTTACAAATCCAATACCATGACCCATCCTCCGGCCATTTATTCCTACCGACTTGATACACGAGCCCCACATTGAAACGAAATTCACAATTTCCAAAACATTAACAATGTTTAATCAAAATTCAAATTTTCAAGAAGTGTGCATGGCATATACAATGCTCCCAAGGTAATACAATAAACGTGATATTCCATATTCCCAAACATATGCAATGTGTACAATAAACTCATGTTTCCAAGATGTCCATAACATATACAATGTTCTCATACTCTAAAACATATACAATGTTCATACTTTTCTTTAACAACAATAATAATCTCAATACAAAGTTATACATAAGCAAACCAGTCCAAATACTTCTCTCAGACTTCCATTTCACGTTCCCAAGTCGCTTCCTTAACTTCGTGATATTTCCACAATACCTTGACCAAGGGAATCGTCTTGACTCGCAAGACTTGGTCCCATCTATCCAAGACCCTCACCAGTCTCTCCTCATACGAAACATCCTCATCTACTTTTAAGTCGGTCTAATCCAACACATGTGATGGATCCGGCTCATATTTTCGAAGCATATTAACATGAAACACGTCATGTACTTCGGACAGTTGAGGCGACAATTCTAAACGG